GAGAGAGAGAGAGAGACTAAAAATGATTTAAGGCTGAACTTCTCTTCTGCATTACAGCAGCTTCTACATCAGGTCTTACTCTTTAACTTAACATGTCTGCTCTGTGGTGGCTGTTGTTTTAAGAGGTGACTGTCACCATGCCAGAATGTGTCATTAATTAGAGGAGGTGCTCTTAGAGTGGGCAGTTTGCCAGCCAGCCTTGGGAGAGTGTCAGCCCTGCACTGTTTTTCCCAGGACTGTAATTCTGTGCAACCCTGGGTCATTTACACTCCGATGATTTCTGCCCTTGAACTGATCAATGGACTCTGTCACAGCCCTGAAACAAATCGATCAGCTTGCCACTTCAAATGATTGTGGCTTCTCAATGGCTGTAGCTTAAATCCCACTCAGTCTGTTGTATTACAGCAGCCAGATGACAGTGATGAAGTGTAAGTGGCTGAATTCCTGTTAACCTGTTCCTCTTTCACTGAAGGTATCTGGCCCTGGTGGAGTCCCTGCCAACATATGGAGTCCATTATTACCCAGTGAAGGTAATGGCAGTGCCCTGTCATACAGTAGCTTAACATTAAAACAAGCTTACGTCTACATCTAATCTAAACACATCAATCTAACCCCTATTCCTACTTTTTTTTCCCATGATGGTTGAAATGTGAGCTTTTTGATTCAGCTAAGACAGCAATCTATCCATTCAGCTTTTCTCACTTTCTTACATTCATGCACAGTTTTTTTCCCTTACCAAACCTAATTAAATCAAGGTGTGTGAGGAGATCAAACAGCAGTGTTGAAGTTTTAAGAGCTTAAATGTATTTGATCTCTTCTTGAGTTGCAATTGTTGTGAGCCTAACAGGGTAATTACTTTGGTAACAGGCCTCTTTCTTTTTTTTTTAGACACACCAATAAAGTTACCTCTAAGGAGTGAAAGTGTGGTTTATTTGCATGTGTGTGCTTTCCTGCAGGACAAGCAAGGAATACCGTGGTGGCTGGGAGTCAGCTATAAAGGCATTGGCCAGTACGATTGGCAGGATAAGCTGAAACCTCGACAGGTGGGTTGACCTCTCGTTATAGCTGCTGTATTTGCCACAGTTGCTCTTCTTTCTCTTGTCCTGTCTTTGGTGAAGGTATACTTGTACTGCATTCATCTGTTTGTCAGATGAATCTACTTTGCCAAATTGCATGAAACTTTATGGAGACACAGAGCCTGGACTAAAAAAGGGATATGTTAAATTTTGGTTTGGATCTGCGTTCCTATTTATAATTTACTTGTTTTACTTGTTTGTTACTTTTGTTTGGTTTGCAAAGTTACTCAGACTAGCTTAGGGTGTGGGCTTTATAAATAGACCTGGCTTTCTTACAAGTGCCATTTAATACTTGATCAAGTCACTCATCGAATGTAAAGTTGAAAGCTCTTAAGTTTGTGGAAGTATGATGCATTGAGGGTCATTGAAAGGCTTTGTCTGATGAAAACTCTGCTTCCACTCATGTGTTTCTTGCTGGCTGGTTAATGATCCATCCAGACTGTAAATAGGTGTAATTAAGACTCTGGTTCCCATGCCAGTCAGGAGAAAGAGGAACACAGATGGGGGGGAAATATTTTGGAGTGTCAGTATGTGCGTAGTGCTTTCAAGGCTGCAGGAGTAAATACAGTATGGACCAGTATTAGCAGGGGTGGAATGCAGAGTGGTATGGATTATAAAATCTGCTTGCTAAGTTTAAGTGGTAAAATACACAAAGACCTACACTTTGAAAAAATAGTGTGTCATAGTCCTTTTTTGATTAATTCTAAAAACATATCACCAGGCCAGTGTGTTATTAAAGTAAATAAAAATAACAGCTCTTGCAAAGCAGTTTTTTTCTATAATTTGTAGCTTACTCCAGTTATATAAGATTAGTGGCTTTAAAATTATACTTATAACTTGTACTGAATTTGTAGTGGTGTGTGTCTTAAAACATCACTCTGGTAATAATGTAGTTTGTATAGTATCCATTGCAGTTTAAAAATTCCCTGCTTATAGGGCAAACGTTCTTAATGTGTAGCTGTGTCCGTGATTGTTGTCTCCTTTGTCTGGGAGGTGTCATTTAATAATGTTCTACCCAGGCATTTTCGCTGGCCTCTTTCTTTAGTCTCATCATAGCTGCTTTTATACAGTATGAACTTGTTGACATAGCAGGGTGTGCAGTACTGAGGCAAGGCATTAATGGGCAGACGCACAGCGTGGCTCTCCCAGCAGTCCTATACGAGGGGTAATTATGGTGCTCCAGGGAAGCAGCAAAGCTTTGGGACCAGAGTTTTCTCCTCGACAGCCAAGTGGATAGGTAGAATTTGTATTTTGGGATGTTGGAAATGTTCATCCAAAGCAAGACTGCCTTTTTGCCTTTTCTAAGTCTTCTACTCAGGGCAGGAGCATAAAAACTTCATAAGAGTTTCCTGTTGGGGGGCGAAATGTGGCTTTTTTTTTTTTTCTTAATAACTCTTTTTGTTGTTCTTGCTGGTAATTAGAAGTCTCGGTTTCCCTCATTTTCCTTTACCTTGAAGGGAGGTCTCTATATCCGGGTAGTATTCTTGTCTTAGTTCATAGCCCTTGTATTCCACCCATCCCATCCCTCCTTGCCTCCTGCCCATCCCCTCTCAGCATGCTACATTCATTATGGTAATTATGTGTGTGTGTGTGTGTCTCAGAGGGAACACAATTGCTCAAACAAAACAAAACAGTTATCTGTGGATGTGGGTGAGGTGCTGGATTTTAGTATTAAGGGGAGGTCAGTTGACCATCACGGCAGTTTTAAATGTAATTTTCAATTCTGTGTGAACATTTTCCCTTCACAACAATGCTGCTTTGAACAGTTTTTCATTAAATAGATAACAGAAAATTAGTACTTGCTGCCATTGTTGTAGTGCTGATTTAAAGAGGACAAAGCATTTGCTCAGTGCTGCTTTTTTATTTTTTGATTGTATAAGTCTAGTAAAACTAAAAAGCAGCTATGATAGCTTAACCCAATATTATCTTCTTTTCACACACCCCACTTTGATCACTTTTAACTGAATACCCTGAAACTGAAAAGGCCCCTTTCCCTGCTGTGCTTTAGAAAAGTGACATATTTAGTAAAGTGAATACTCTCCCGCTTCCATCATGCATACATAATGGAACTGTATATAAGCATGTAGATAACACCCACTGATTATGTATCCCAAAGATCTGAATGTGGAATGGGAGGAAAAAGATGCAGAATTGTAATTAGGAAGCCTGTGATGCTTTAATATGAAGGAGCAAAACTGGAGTGCCACAACTGTTTCTGGGACTCAGGCAGATGGCAAGTCGACATTTAATTTCTTCTTAAATTAAACCAGGAGTCAGTCTCTCTCTCTCTCTCTGCGTCACTTGGGCTCTCTCCCTTCATGTAATGGGACCGCATGCTGGTCCACACGTACGATGAGCCAGCAGAACCAAAACCAGTCTTCAGGTCATTACGAGACAGTGTCAGCTGGGGGTATAAAAGTGTTCTCACTCTCTGTTCAAGAAAAATAAAAACTGAACAAACTTTTTTTTCTATGGTGTGTTTTTTTGTTTTTTTGTTTTTTTTTCCTATTTTCACTCAACTCACCTCACTCCTGTTATGAAATAAAACAGGATGTTTTTTGTTCCGGGAGCTACATTTTTATCAGCTTATCACAACTTTGAGCTGTGTGTCATGTTGTGTCATGCCGTGGAAATGTACAGTGTTCAAGTAGAGCCTTGGTATGTGACGTACTCTGTGATGGGTGTGGCAGATCTTTTTCTGTATTGGCATGTGAGTCAGGGCTCCTTTTTAAAATCCATGTATGATTTTTAGGACTTGTGGCCCTGGGGGTCCTTGGGCTTGTGGGTGTGTCTCTATGAGAACAGCCTGATCCCATCTGAAACCACAGGCATTTCTGGCACACTTCCACCTGTAATGACACATTTGGCAAAAACAAAGAAGATGACAGAAAATGAAGACAGAAAATTTTTGTGTGCTGTTAATTCCGGTTAGTTTTCTGGTTTTAGCAAACTGATTCTGCTTTCTCTAAATGTGATCTGGGTGATTTCATGGACTGTTTCCTCTTTGAGAGGTCTCGTGATTGCCGAGTTTGAGGTGTGTCACATCTCTAACATTTTTTCGAACAGTGGTTCTACCAGAAGCCGCCTCAGAGTTTTATTATGCGCTGGCACACAGGTGTGGAGTTTCTCTAGCAGAATGAGTGAGCCAACACAAGTATCAGTTGTTACTGTGTGATTGATGCTAAATGGTGGTGACTAGACAGTGGTAATTTTTGTGAAGACCCCCACAAGAAAATTAGGTCTTTAAATGTGCCTACCAGCTGCTAGGAGTGCAGTATTTAGTGGAATGATCTGCCATGCTGGAATACCCTGTTTGAACTAAGCATTTATGTACAGTTTCAGTATTGTAGGCTCAGGTTGTGGGGTAATTTGGGCCATGCTGTGTGCTCACTTGCTCTCACAATGGCAAAGAAAGCCACTGCTATTAATTATTAGCCCAAAGTTACTTATTGCCAGCATGTTTTCTTGGTGGGGGAGATGGTTGTAGTGGATTATTATACATGGCAGTGCTCTGTCTTCTGTTTACAGTAAGGGCGGCAGAACACTTCCCACATTTAGTGTGGGGCATTTAAATGTCTGTGAGTGACAGTAAGCAGAGCAAAGGTGAAATATCTGGTTCATCAAATAGTTGTGTACAACCTGCTTATCTGGTTTGACCAAAAAGGAAGAGAGCTGCGTAGAAGAGAAGGGGGGGAAAGGAGAGTGCAGAGCAGTACTAAGCACTGGAGGCTGCAGGAGGTGTCCCTGCTATCGTAGGAGGAGAGAGAGGTGGAGGAGGGGTTGGGGTTAAGGAGGGGGGGGCGTGGCTATCTCAACCAAAACTCTTGCAACACCTATCTGGCTTCACAACAGACAAGAGAGAGTATTGTTCGAAGAAGCTCCAGCCCTGTGGGAAAGTCAAAGGATTCAATACAAGTCCAGAGAATTCCTCAGAGATTTGATAAGCACAGATACAACGTTCACGGTAAGCCATGTTGTGGTGTCCACTAGTTACCTGTCAGGCTGATTTAAATTATCTTTAAGTTGGCATTTTTTAGTATCTTTGTGCTCTTCTCTAGATTGTTAGTGTGCTGTGCTTTCTGTAATGTGTAAAGCATTGTGTCTGTCACTGCTGTGATGTGCTGCACTTGTTTTACTGAGAATAAACTCTGGAAATGGAACTGGATACTGGATTCTTATCCCGAAAAGCATGTGTGTGTATATATATACGTTTTTGTACAATGGTTGAAACTGGCGTTTCAGTCCTTGTCTTGTGAGTTGGTATCAGGTAAAGCAGTTTCTATGAACACTGGCAGCCCCATTGTTTTGGTCTTATTATTATGTTTTTTCCTGTACGTGAGCAGAGAAGAGTTCTTGAAAGGCAACAAAAACTTTAAATCTGTTTGAGTTGTTTCAGTATCGGTAGAACAGATGTTTCTTCTGACACAGAGAAGTCGTGTCTGTTCTCTTCAACAGAGAGAAATGAAAAGCTGGCTTGCTGCCTGGCACAGTTTTGTTCCTGCAGTTGCAGCAGCTTCATAATTACTCTTTTGTTAGCCTGAACTTACACCTGACTGGCTGGCCCACTGAGTCCCATTCATGACTTGAGCAGTTATTTTGTATACGTTATAAACAGTGTTCACAGGCAGGCTGCTGTGGCTGAATCTACCCACCTCTCTGCTTAGTATCTTTTGGTGGTATTGATTCCTCTTGTATGGAAAGCTTTTTTTTGTTGTTGTTGTTCATGTAATGTCAATCCATATTTCTATAGTGTTGTGTTGGCTGATGTGTGCTCAGTGATGTGTAATCTGTCTGTCTGTCCCTTCCCCTCCTTTCCGCCGAACCCTCTCTGTGTCTCTGCAGTTGTTTCAGTGGAAGCGGTTGGAGAATTTGTATTTCCGTGAGAAGAAGTTTTCAGTGGAAGTGAACGACCCACACAGGTCAGAAGACAAACCCACTTACTTTATCTTCACTTAACCTAATAGCTGCTTTTCTTGTATTCTGAAGTGTTCCCATTTTAGCAACTGCTCTTGCTTCCTTATCCTGCACCTTACACACTGTGAAGGTCATCTGCAGCCACTGGCCCATTTAGGACACCTTGTTAAAGCCTTTTAACATGTCTGTTAAATGAGTCTTTTCCTGCTGCTCAGTGGCTGTTTATTATTCTAAGGTTGTTATAAGCCCTCTGCCCTTAACACAAGCTTTAATGTGCCACTTCCAGCAGTTAAAGCCATTATTAAACCTAACAGACAGCTTCAGATTTAAAATTATTCCTCCTTTGTTATATAGCTGTTATGTATGTAACGGGTTCTGTATTGGATAACAAACACTGTTGCTGAACTACTTGAAATGCTTCGTTGACACTTGAGCCCTTACTTCCTTTATGTACCCATATAAATGTGTTATCCATGTTATCTCTCTGTAATCAGGTTAACTAGCTAGCAGCTAGTTTGGCACGCCTTTAAGCATAGAATGACTGCCTCGCATTCTGCATTTTCGCCAATTTGCTAGAGCTGTGTCTGCTAGGTCTGACTTTAAAATGTTTCATCCACAAAAAAAGCATGTTCTTTTGCTGCCAGTAAGAGCAGACTTTTAGGAGTTTCTAATGCTCTCTGAGAAACTGAGCACCCGGTGGATTAGTTTTTGATGACAGTGTCCTCACAAGAATAGGAGAGTCTGTAGTTGCACTATGCTGCGAGCTAATGTGGCTGACGTAAGCATTTGATCATTTGCCCACAGGCCAGAGCTAAGTGAACACCGTAATACTGAGGGACAATCAAAAATGACTTAAAGATTGATTTGAAAACAATAAATAAGAATTGGCTGTGGGTTACTGTTTTTTCTCCTTGTGCTATAGTGGAAGCTAAACTTGGCTGGATTTTTTTTCTTTTTTACTGTCATTCCTTTGTAATATATTTTTGTAATATAAATACATGAAAAACAAGTTGATGAAAACCTTGTGCTTTATGGGATGATGTGACGAGTAGTCTTTTCTGGATACATACCAGATTCATACTGTTGATACCAGCCAACAGATCTTAGACCAGCATTAGTTTGGCTTATATTTCCTGGGACTATTTGGGGCACACTGGGCTTTAGGTACACACCCAAAATAAAATGAGGAATCTTTAAATGAACATATTATAGGCACTCGAATTTAAGCAATTAAACAGATTGTATCTGCAATACAGCATGTATTGGATGTCTATCTTATCTTCTACAGTAGAACAGTGACCAAGCGAACCTTTGGACAGTCTGGCCTGGTTATTCACACGTGGTATGCCAGCCATTCACTAATTAAAACCATCTGGGTGATGGCCATCAGTCAGCACCAGTTCTACCTGGACATGAAGCAAAGCAAAGTGAGTGTCTGCCTGTTTTTTCTCCTCCATGATTCACTTTGCTTTGTTCACACTGTCTGCCTGTTTTTCTATTGTGAAACACAAAGAAACAGTCTACACCAGTTTACCACAGTAATTTACACTGTTTGATGTGTTTAGAGAATATGCATGGTGGTTTCTTGGAGTAGAGTCAATCATAAGATTGAAGAGACCATAATGGACTTTTTCCTTGTTTTTAGTTTTTAAATTTTGAATGCTAAATCTTCTTGTTATATGTTTTTAGTTTGTCTTGTGGTGTTGACCTATTTTCAGTAGGCTGTAAAAGGAGTAACCTCTAGATGGATTGCAACAAAGAAAAGCTTGCCAGTCTTTTTCAGTTTGAACAGTGACCAAATGATGTTTAAACGGTTTGTTGTCTCACAGCCTTTTACAACAATGACTGTTCTTCATGTGATACACTGCCTGATCCGTGTCCCTTACTCGTGACTAGTGTAAATATCTTGACTCAGAGTTTATCGAGGGCTTCCAGTTTTAAAGTAAACAGATTCCTAGCCATTGAGTTTTATGTAGGAAGGTTGTTAGGTCTTAAGTGTAAAAGCTGTTATAATTCATGTAACCAGACCCTCTCTAATTCACTTCTGCAAAATGAAACTGAAAGTGCACAAAGTGCTTGAAATTGCACCCCAGGAAATACTTTTATGATGTTGTGCATATAGTATTCATTATAGAATTGTAGTATTTTACCTATTTTTGTTTTATTTGTAGCTTAAGGTAAAGCCACATGTGCACAAAGAAAGTATTTAGTTTGGAAACCACAGAAAGGTAAAATACACTGTGAATTAAAAGCAAAGATCCTAGAACAAGTGTTCAACTCTTCCTGAAATGCACACTGGGCTTGAGCACTGAGGCAGGTGTTATGTGTGTTATGTGCATTTTATAGTTAAGATGGTTGAGTGTGTGTGGTTGCAGTTATATGAAGTTATTCAGGCTATGTCTTGGAGGCGCATGGCGTGTCAGGTTTGATGCCATGCACAGGAAGTCAATGAAGTCAATTGATGATAAATATTTAGCATGCCACTGCAGCCGTCACGATGCACTGTGCTATCAATAAAATTAAATACTATCGCCTTCCCTTTTCTCCTCCTAATCTTCTCTTTCCTCACTTACAGTCAAAGATGACCACTACCAGGAGTTCAGGAGACATCGCAGTAGACCTCACTGAGATCTCCGCCCCCCGGATCACTAAACTTTCCAGTATTGAAAGCAAAAATCATCTAATAATGGCCAGCAATGGAAGCCTCATCTCAACTGGTAAGCAGACAGATAATCAAATAATGACTTCTATTCTACATCAGATTGATAGGTGATAATGTATTAATTTTTTTTTATTTATTTTGTCCCTGTTCCAGGTTCTGCTGACTCTGAAGTCAGCGAGGAACAGAAGAAAGAGAAGATCGCTGAATTGAAAAAGAAGGAAAAGGAACTTCAAGACAAACTGTCAGCGAAACTTGAAGAACTGAAAAAGATCTGCTTAAGAGAAGCTGTGAGTGTCTGTCTTACTGGATTTGTTTCCAAAAGTGTCAAATTCTCAGCTGACTTCTGGCTGCTGTTCTCATTTGCAGGAGCTTACAGGAAGATTGCCTAAGGAATATCCCCTGGCCACAGGTGAGAAGGTTCCTCAAGTGCGACGGCGTGTTGGGACAGCCTTCAAACTGGATGATCTTTTCCCCTATGATGAGGTGAATGCAGATATTTGTTTGTGCTGTGGATTTGCTGTGTGAGGCTGCTGTGACACTTGGAACACCATTAGTGCCCCACTGTTGTTGTTTAGCTACGGCTCATTTAGATCAGCTGACTTTTTAAAGTGAGGCTTTTGGAGTTCAGTTCTTTTTTTTAAGCCTACATTGTGTAACATATCATATGAGACTCTTATGGGGAGATGTACCTAGTTTCTGTCTTTATCTAAAGATGAGTATATAAAATTACACTAAAAGACTGATGTCTTTGTGTTTTTAGCTTTGAGTGCTTTATGTCTGTTTTTTTGTTCATATGGGTGCCTCTGCTCTGACAAGATCTGTGTTTTTTGGAAAGTCCCCATTAACTGTGTCAGTCTTGTGTTTTCCTACAGGATCCACATCTGAGGAATCTGGAGAGTCGGTTTGCCTTGCAGCAAAAGATTGTGGAAGCAGCCATGAAGCTAGCCAATGAGGCTGACCTGTGCAAGACTGTGAAAAGGAAAAGGAAACACAACTATCTTGACGCTATGAGAAACCTGGAAGAGATTGAGAAGCAGATCAACGACTACAGGGTCAAAAAAGGACAGAAACCCACTCAGAGAGCCTCACTAATCTTACGAGGTAGATTTCACGAACAGTGGCAGTGACACATACTTGCATATCAGAGCTTGTAGAACTTTAGTCATAATGAGACAAGACTGTGAATAATAATATCAGAGACATTTCTTAGAACACTTGTCTCTCTCTGTCCTCTGACCAGATGATCCCCAGCCTTCAGAACTCAGCTCGCTATCTGACAGCCTCACTCTGGATGATGGTTAGTGTGCTCAGTGTGCATGTGCTTCCTAATCCCCATCTCATTTATGAATGAGTTATACTTAAAACAATGACCTTTTCACTCCCAGATGATGAGCTTGGCTCCCAGAGGCAGCGGTCTCGTTCAGTCCAATACTCCCCCAGACCACACCACGCAGACACTCTGGATGCTCATTACAACAAAGACAGACGAGCCTCTGCCAATGACCAGCTCGCAGACAGCAGGTATGCGACCAGCACCCACACTCATGGAGCATACTTTATTAGTGTCCTAACACTGTGACTGAAGAGGAGACTGAATGTGAGCAGCTACACAACTCTGTTCAGACACAGTATACAGGCAGAGCTCAACACACAGGCAGTTGGAAGTATGCGTGTAAAATGCAAGAAAATAAAAACAAAGATACGTGTAGGCAAGTGGAGAGAACGGCTGGATTGATGGGTATGATGACTGATGACAGGGAAACATGGCTGAACTGTTTTTCTGTGGAGATACGCAATGCCTGTTGTTTCTCCAGGGGCCTGAAGCGTGAAGCTAGTACAGACCTGTAGAGTAGATCCAGAGCTACATTCCTGACAGTCAACCTCCTCCCTCCTTCTCCTGCCTCTCCAACAGTCTGCTTATCAGCCCAAACACACCGGCTTTAAAAATAGATGAAAAAACAACATGTCTCTGCCTGTAAAGGAGCAAACAACAATCCCAAGCTGAGAGGAAAAGGGAAACAGAAGGCGGTGCTGGAAATGTTGTTTAAACACCAGCTACTGCGTTAGTGTTTAGAGTGGTGCGGGTGATGTTTTACTCTCAGGTTCATTTAAAAGAAGGGGGGTAAAAGTCATAATGCTTGCTGCTGCATGAAAAGATTAATGGTCTGTGCAGTGGAACTCATTCAGGTGTAAGGAATGACTAAAGTGCCGCAGTCAAGCAAACCCTGTTTTGTTTTTTCCTTTTTTTTCTTCCTTTCCTAGATTTATTGTCGAGAAGATAGTGGTGTTAATCATCTGAACATATTTCCTATCTGTGTTCTAGATTATTTGACCAAGACCAGGAAGCGCACCATTACAGTCACAATGACACCTTATCGGTCTACAGCAGCCCATGTAAAGCAGCTTCCAGGCAGCCACGTGATGCACGCAGCATGCCACCCACTCCCCTCCTCACCCGCAACGCATACAGCAGCACACAGCTGAGGTATGAGCTTTATGTAGTTCTTTCATTATTTTGAAGACCCGCTTCATAAACGGCTCTTATGCATTACATTCACTAAACTTTAATTTTAATTGCAGATCAGAGGATTCTCCACAACACTTCCGCCAGCGTAGCGGGAGTCTGGAGTCACAGTCTCAGCTCATGATCGAGACCAAACCAACCATGCCAACACTGACTGTCCCGTCAGCTCGACGCAGCAACAGCACCGAAATGCTTGATGACGGTTCCTCCTACACAAGCCAGTCTAGTGTGGAATACAGCGTCCCTGGTAACCACACGCACGGGCGCAGAGTGCGTGGGCGCCACAGAAAAGACATGTACGCCAACACGGGCAGCATGCCCAACCTGGCTCAGCCAGACACTCGGTGCTATGCCTACCAGCCTCGGGCTCGGCCCACCACAACAGCCTACTATGTCACAGGCTATCCCAACTACCCAGAACCGGAGCCTTACTCCAATGGAGTCTATGTTTACGACAATGAAATGGAGGGACACTATAATGTTAACCCTTCCTACCACCACACCCAAACAGCTTATCAAAGCCACAGCGTGTATGGTCACTACGGTAATGACGAGATAGATGGTGCATCACAGAACGTGTACGCCACGATACGGCCATCCAGGCAGCGTCCAGTGCCTCGAAGCAACGAACAGATCAACAAGAACATCCAGAAGGCCCTGGTGGCTGAACACTTGAGAGGCTGGTACAAACGTAACACTGCACAAAAACAGGCTGCGTACGACTATGAGTATGACAGAGGCTCCCAGCAGAGTCTGGGCTATCCAACCACGCATGCACCACAAGCCTACAGCAGGAACCTTTCCTACTCGTCAGGTTAGACAATTTCACAATGTCCTCTGAATTATGTTTCTAACACTGGTTCTACATGTTGGTGGGTTGTTTTCTGACTTGTACCATTTTTCTGCCATGTCCTCAGTGGCCTCCAGTGGAAACTGGCACAGTCACATGACCGGCAGTGCTATGCTGGAATATGACATGCCCGTGCATGCACCGCAGTCTTACTCTTACAGCACAGCCCCCTACGCCCACTCCACCCACAGCAGGTAAGAGGAAAAAAACCTGGCCCTCAGCTCTTCTACTTATCCAATAAGCCACTCCCTGATCCTTCTTATCCTCAGAGTTAAGTGCTAGTGTTTAATTACCTAGAGGGGATGGCTACAGAAAACACGAGCTGCTATTTGGTGTTTTTATCCCTTACACCCATCAGCAATGTGAAATAATGTGTTGCCAATGTCATCTTTTCTTTACCTTCACCTATAAATTATGAAACTGAATCCACAAACAGGCCAGTGTTTAATTTCACAGCCGTATTCATTGATGGGATTAGAGGATCTGTGCTGCCTGCAGTCAGTTCCTCCTAAGAGCTTAAAAATGGTTCTGCTCTCCCTAACTGTCCACTGGCCCCTGCTCTCTTATAGATATGGCGACTCCTGGCACAGCCCTGATGGCCAGAGGCGCTGTGCCTTTATCCCTGCTAGTTCTTCCTCCTCTGGTTATCCTTCCACTTCCTCCCTGCCCTCTTCTTCCTTTCCCTCCCCCTCCCCCTCCTCCTACTACTCCCCTGGCTGTCGGGTCAGGCAGGTGGCCTCCAGCCCTGCGCAGCCACAATCCTCCAGAGGGCACAGGCTCAGTAAGGTGTCTTTTTCTAAAGGTAGCTCGTAGTAAGTAAACAGCATCGGCCAGACCCCGTGCAGTTGCTTCTTTTAGTGTGCCCGCAGTCTGACTCGTGAGTCTGCTTGTTGATGTTTTGAAGTGAACTTTGCATTTTTGAGATGTTTGACTGATCATTCAGTGTCATGTCTGATACTGTGATTGCATGGCTTCCTTAAGGAAAAATATATAAATATGCTCGTCCTACTTCCTCCTCAACTGCCACATTGTCATCCAGTGGTCACATTTCTCCGCAGTCTTCCTTTACTGTCAAGATTTTGTTTGTTTTTGTTTGTTTGTTTTTTCCCTCCACTCTTTGCCCATGTGCTTCCATTCACCACTGACCTTTGCCCCCTCTCATGCACAGATGTCTCCCAGAGTTTGAGTGGCGAGGATGTGATAGGATGGCATGCCCCCCTGGGTATTTAGAGAGGTGTGGTGGTGCTTCCTATGCTACTGACCAGGAAAATTATCCCCTCCCCCCCAATAATCAAAGTCACAGGAGAGAAGAAAGGGTGAGAAAGTGTAAAAACTTCCCCACGTGGTGATGGTGATGTGTTAATTTTTATGCATAGCAGGGACTGACAGAAAGCACCAGATCATTTGATTTCACTGACGAACTTTGGTGCCTCGTGGTGGTGGGAGAGCACTTGTGTGGCAAAGGGAAAATGTGACCCCTGAGCACTGTTGCATTGGAAGGCCATGTGTTTGTGTATAGACGGCTATTGTGTCTGTGTGCATCTGCCTTATAACTGGGTGAGAATGTTTGACCCTGGGTGTGAAATCAGCTTTCACATTACAAAATCTGAAACACAGGTGATGGCTCACATTGCTGTTTTATATTGACATTTTACCTTTGTAGTTTAGACGCAGAGCCCAGGGTTAATCAATTCTAACCCCGTAGTCAGTCACAGTCAGCAGTTTGCAGCCTAATGTGTTTGTTTTGTGTGTTCATTACAGATCCTATATAGATGTCAGCCAAATGGACTCCCACATCAACAGCCAAATGCACACTAACATGGACCCTGAAGAACAGCTTTACTGGCATGAAGACTCAAAACCAGGAACAATAGTTTAGCCGGATACCTTACAACTGTGCAAAATCTTCACCTTGACAAAACGTCACTGTGCCTTAAACTGCACTTACCTGTTTTGTAATTTCCTTGTAAAAGGACCCAAAGAATGAAGGAATTTAACTTCTGTGGAACTCAGCACGTTAAATGAAGTATTCTCATTTCTGTATCTCTTGAACGCAGTTGCCAAACTGATGCCCATCCCTGTATTTGAAATCACAACAAGAACCCCATTGGAGTGTCTAATCATGGGGTTGCGAGTGTTTGTAGTGATGGGACCTGTGCACTGAAACTATACCAAGCCCTGCAGTGGACTGAATGGTATAGCAAAGGGTGTAGCATTACTCTTTAGAGATACTGAACCAAGGACTAAAACTGTCTCTCTAAGAGGATACCGAGCGGCAATGAACAAAGAACATGACTGATCCTGTTGTGCTACTTGCACACACATATGAACACTGTAACCATGAAGGATTAGACACGGATTTATAAGGTCATTAATGAAGCACTGAACTCGTTAAATAGGAGTCGAGAGAAAAGGCTACTTCCGGGAATATTCTGCAGTCACCTGATCCACGTTTCTATTACCGTTCCGGTCTCTACACTCGTTTGTCATTTACAAAGTATTCAGTTTGCTTCACTGTCAGTACTTACACCATAATTGAGCCAAATGCTTATTTGTTGCACCACTTAAGTATTACCTGAGTCACCAGTTTCGAATATTACTGCCTCTGTGGGAAGACAGAAAATCCAGTTTTGTTTTGTTTTGAACATGGTTATTTCATCCATGCTGGAAATCATGGACTGGTGCTCCAAATTTCTCTCAAGAGATTAAAACTGTGTAAATGTTGGTATGTAAATACACTGGCTTAGTCTTTTTTTTATTATTTTAGAGCATTTTTATGTATTTGAAAAGCATGTAATATATAGTAAACAATTATTGTTAAGCTGGTTCTTAGTAATTTGTATAATTACAATGGTTTGGATTAAAAAAAATTGAATTTCCCAGTGCTTTTGTTTGTGGGTGATATTTATTTAAAACTGAGCCTTCGAAGCGTCTTATCCCCCTTAGTGCAGGACAACACAGGATTTAAATCCAAATCCTTTGAATTAGCTAAATGAACGTCTGCTGGGCCAATTCAGTTAATGAAATTGAGTATAAAGGTGCAATAATCACCACTTCCAGAAGGAAAATAGGTAGAAAACCTAAAGTGTCATTTACATTTAATGACTGCAGAACACAACACAAATGAGTTTTCCTCATATAAATGGTTTGGAAGCTGCTTATCTGGTGTTCATTCAAGGAAGCAGATTATAGTAAGAGAGATAACTCTAAAGTACTGGGGGTTTTTTTGAGCGTCTTAAGAATGAATGAATATAGAGCTGCAATCACTCATAATGACAGTCAAGTGTGAATAAATGAGCCGGTTTTAGAAACTCACTGCTCTGCAGAGTTCTGTCGCTCTGCTGTACTTTCTCACTGCCTTGCTGTGTAACCAGGCACTTTTTTGTGTGTGCGGGTTCTCAAGCTGTAAACCGACCAAACCAGTCTTTAAAGGCTGTCACACCCACTATGGGCTATAAAACCTTTCCTTGTGTCTTCTGTGTGAATGACAAGCTAGTGTTTATAGCATCAAACCCTCCCTGCAGGCATTCATGTTATGAGAAGTCTGTTTTACACATGTTATCCGAGCCCTCCTCCCTTCACATTGTACTATAACCTTTCACTACCATTCCCCTTCCTTTCCTTCCTGTGGTGCTGCACATTTTCTATCGATGTATCCTGCCTCGGGTCCCCTCTTTAAGACGGCCAGAGTTGAGCAGCTTTCCTTGCTCAGAGTGCCTCTCAGTTTTATGCTTCTTGAGCAAGCTCAAGGGAGGTCTTGGACTATTCCAGCTCCTCGAGCAGCGAAAGAGGGGGAGAGCTCTTCATCCAGCTGTCTCCCTGTCTCGGCCGCGCCACGCCAGCTGTAGTTAGACATCATGGGAGGCTGTTCCAGCTGACACTTCACTACATAAACAATAGATTTCTATTGACTTTTTCTTTATCTAAAACGCAACACACAAAAAACTTGTAATGCAGAGTGGATTAAGGCTGTGCATGGACTCCAATACCTGTGTGACTAATGGAAACGTCAGTCACGCAAAGTACTGAAACCTGTCAAGTACTGGAAGTACTTGCATCAAATATCTGCATTACAAGTTCATTGACTGAATGGTATCTGATTTAAACCTGCACTAAACAGTGTTGAATAGTGTATTAGATTACCATGAGAACCATAGATTGTACATAAATGATCGACACAGCTCCTGGATCCTGAAGTGCCTTAAACCTGCAATCTGCATAGAGGCTTATGGGAAAAACAACCCTTGGGGCAAACTAGGGAAGAGAGTGGTTGGAGACTGCATCCCAACCCAAATTATCATGAATGTGTGTAATGACCTCCTCACTTCGTGTCCTTGATGGGGTCGCTTCGGAGACGGGGACCATGTCTACGACCACTTGCTGTCAGTTGGCTTCTTCAAAAAGACTTTGGTGCCTCGATGTGGTGATAAAATGATAAGATGGAGTCAGTCTGCTATCAGTTTGCAACTGAATGAGGTCAAGTGGCAGTTACAAGCAATGTGTGAAAATACTGAAATGAACTATAATAAACTGCAAATTTGTTACAATCAACAATGGGAACAGAAATTTCAAACAGCTCCCGAAGGACAGTGATCCAAGAGCAAAATGGCACGCCTGCTGGGCAGCCTTACTTTATATAGGTAATATAACCAGTATAACGGTCATATTTTGTGTATGACAACTCATGAGTGGGTACTGTCCGTTGATTTTCTGTCAGCCCCCCCCTCGTTCAGCAAGTCTGTTTCCAAAATGACAATATGGCGGAAACACTACGCACGATGCCTGACAACTGGACTTAAATAAACAATGGGTGGCGTCATGGTGGCGTGGTGTCCATTTTTTGTATACATTTTCTTTTGTGTAAATAAGTTCAAGCTAAAGAAAAACTCACCAAATCCCCTAAGCTCCATGGCTGTCCATTTTAGGACCTTTCAGCTTCTTGTTTCCGCATTACAGCCCCGCAGCTAATATGTTTTAGTTCAGTTTCACTTTTTTCATTAATCCTTGATTTTCGTCAGTGCAGGCAGTTATATGATAAAGACTGTAATAGACCGGCTGTACACTGAGTGATTATTAAATATAGAATGTACAATGTTCCCAATGGTAGCACACACAGGAAGTGTCACACATGAAACACTAAACTGAGCAGCCACAGGGCTCAGCCAAACTGAGATTAAAATGGCTTGAAATCATGCTGTGCTTACTCCCCGAATCCTGCGACTTCCCCAGGATTCAGGGAGTAATGACTCTGACAAGCTATGAAAGGTGAACGACTGGATTAGCTGACCAGGTCACATGCTCTCACAGCTCATTCCTGTCTCTTCCTTCAAAAGGAGGCAAAAAACAAAAAACAAAAAACATGGACAAACCGGAAGGTGGAACAGCTCACATGAGGATACAGCAGACTGCACAGGTCATGGTGGGTCATCTTTAATGGGTCACATGATCGGCTGTGGTGTAGGTCTAAGCAGCCGAGATCTGCTGAATGACAGGCTGTTTGAGTTATGAGGCTAGCTAACCAGCTTAGCTAGCCACAAGCCAAAGCCTCTCAGGGAAGAGGAGGGGGGTGGGGACGCAGGGGTCAAGTGGAAGGCAGCACAGCAAGTACGCGTAACCATGCAAAAGCAAGCACTGTGTACTGTACATTGCTCAGTGTCCCGTGCAAGAAGCGCGCAGCAGGTGAAAGCAGCTGATTTTTGCCTAGAAATGCACAGAAACAAGATTTTGGTATTGTAGAGTGTAAAAGAGGCCTCACTCCTGGAGACACTGTGAAGAAGAAAAGACCAAACACACACACACACACACCTGTTGGGTGTGCAGCAGCACACGTGCCGATACGATCTTCGCAGCAGCTGCATCAGCAGCTAGAACAAGGGCTTCCACTGTGCCCTCTGAGACATGACTTTACTTGACTAGACTGCCACCGGTGCTTATACTCACTCGTCCAAGTTTCACAATATGGATGCTGATGAAGCACCGCGGGACATAAATCAGCGCTGAAGTACAAAAAGGGGGGAAAACCCAGCAGCTGAGTCCAACTGAGCAATGCGAAGAGATCCTCAGCTACAGCAAACCTAGAAAGCAAAGGGTTAACATGGACCATCCTCCCGTTTTCCCCTCGCTGCCGCTTCAAACTGAATAACAGAGCATTAGGTTCTGGATGGATTCTTGTTATCTGCAATCAATTTTAAATGGAATCCAATAAAAGAGAAGCTGACACAGCGACTAAATCGGGTTTGGAGGTGAGTGAGTGCAGATGAATCCACTGTCAGCTCTCTGCACTATAATCTACTGCAAGCCCACTGATTAGCATTTGGGGTAAGTGGAGAGGAAAGTAAAGTTAACCAATCCATCACCCAGGGGGCACTGTCAAGATTAAGCACTCGAAGATTCAGAGGGAACACTGATGGTCACGGGTCACCTTTGAAGTCTTTATTTTACAATATTGACAAAGCAGTTTGACTTGAGACACAGCAGTCCTCTCTCTTTTGTCTACTTTTTATTTTGATGAGCATCGGGTGGGCTGGTGGACTGAAGCTGGTGTTACATTTTACGTGAGCAGATTATTCAATCCAGCCTCCAAGCTTCTTGGCAGTACAACTAAGTTGAGCGTGCACTCTTCATTCTTTGTTAAAAGGCAACACTCGTGCTGCTTTCACAATTTTAGCTGAGCACAAACAGACAGGGCTGACGGCTGTTTCTGAGAATGATTGAACACAGATTTCGTACCCAGGGTTAAGTCTGCATCTGGTTCTACAGGAACACTTGCACACTGCATAGCAGAGATGTGAGGCTGCACTCACATGCTCTCATCACTGTTTGGAGAAAAAAAAAAAAAAAAAAACGTACCCTGACAAGTTCTGGGTAGAGTGACAGAAGCCCTGAGGTAAAGATAAAGCCCTTTAGATAACAATCTTTCATTTTAAATCACAAGCTGTGCATGAAACTTCAAGGAGTTTAGACTGAGAGAGACAAACGTATGAAATCTAAGCAAAATTTAAAAAAAAAAAAAAAAGTCATAATCTTTGACGCACAGATGTGCATTTGCTTCTTCTCAAATCCAGTCACTCTTTAACTTCTAATTCAGAAAGTTGTGGATCTTTTGAATGGTTTCCTCCTGCTGACCCAGAGAATCCAGCAGAATGCCCATAAACGTCTTCTTCAGTCCAGATCCATCCATCTTGTTCTCCAGCTTATTCTGCATATTGCGTTTGCGACATGAAGCATGTGCAAATATTACTGAAAAACAAACCCGTAGAAAAATGTCAGCTGTAATATCACACTTTGAGGATCTGGAAAATGTGTTTCATTGATTTTGAAACATTTCATGATGTCACACATGCAGTGATCATTATGCTCTGAATAATTATTAGACATTCAATCACCCAAATCAGCCAAACTTACAAACTTACAAATCAGGGGTAAAGTGATGGCCCACATGAATACCACGATGCTCCCCAGCATGGAAATCAATATGCAGCTGGCAACCATGATCAAAATGATGAACGCTGAAGGTTTCTGCTTCTTAAAGTTGTTGATCGCAGCTCCGTTCTCCCCCACCCACACCGAAACCACGAACACGACCGACACCACGACTATGGCTATGAGCGTCTCCAGAGGTTTCAGGATCCTGCAAGGCAGCAGCATAGAACATATGAGGGCAAGTTTAAATAGCTTTGGCATACTGCTGAACTTGACCCCATGGTAACGACGTACAACCCTTGTGTGCAATATTCGTCTGCCCAATTCCAGGTCCTACCCCTCGGGTTATACCTCCTTATGTGCATTTTATAATATGTCAAATAACTTGTGTAAAGTGCGCTTTTCTACTGCTCAGCTTCACACGATTATGACACTCAGGTATACACGTTACACAGACATACACAGCCAGTAAATAACTCATGTTCAGTCCAAGCATGCAGAAGGCCCACTTTCACTGTGTACATGCTGCATATAATGTATTTTGTCAGTATATTTATGTGATTTAATGTCGTTGTGCTTGCATAATGACAATAAACAGTCCCGAATCTTGAATCTGACATGCAGCTGGAGCAGAGGCGCTGTTCTTGTGTGCTAACTAGCTCCATCAAGTGGTCAGATGCTGTGTGTGTAACAGCAACTGCTGAGTGGATCAGATTGGTTTACAAAAATCAAATGTCAGATTAGTTTAATTGTACGAAACAGCAGTAGGGGCAAATCAATAAAAAAAATTTAACGAATAAAAAGAATTAGAATAAAGTCAAAATTTCAAGATTAGAGTCGCAATTCTATTTCGAGAATAAAGTCGAAATGTGGAGATTACAGTTGTTTCAAGACAAAACGCCACGGTTGCTCTACCCTCTGAGTTGGTGAAACTACTTCAGAATCAATTTTAGCAACAAGAAAGGAAGGAAATGATTTCTCTTTTGAAACAGCTTGTAATGGACAGTTCGTAGGGCATCGATAGTTTCAATATCAGAGCATGTATGTTGTATCACACGCTGGCTGATCACTAACTCACGTACACAGGCAAACGTGGCAGTTTGTCTTGAAACAACTCCAGTTTTCTTAATGTGCCCCTAATACTTATAATTGTGTGTACACTTGGGATGATTAATATTTTTCCACTGAAACTGAGAAACGCCCTTGCTGTTTGCAACCTGATGCCACTAAACCTGTTTCATGAAAGAAAAATGGAAAAGTTGTGAAATGCAAACAAAACAAAAATAGACAAAAAAAACCCCCAAACAACTCTGGTGGAACATTTCACACTAAAACTTAGAAATATGACTTGATAGAAAACAAGCATCCAAAATAGGTTGAGTTTGCCCGAAGTGTTGCTGTTAAAAGATTCAGAGAAGACAGTCCAAAAGTGTGGGGGTGTCACTGAGTTAGCTGTGACCTCTTCTGACCCTTGCACAACACTGCATAACAGCACAGGAACACTTCTAAAAAGTACTGATGAGAAATAAATTTTAAACTGGTGCATCCACAAATGCAAGTTAAAGCTGCATATAAGCAAAACCAGAGTTGTCCTCTTTGCGCTGACCACATTCAAGATGGACTGGAAAACTGTGCTGTGGATATTCTCAGGGCTAAAGAGGAAAAGCAGAATCAGTGATGGCATCAAGGTGTGTTAGCGCACATGTGCATGCCTTCATGCATGTGTGAAGGCATGCACATGTGCATGCCTTCATGCATGTGTGAAGGCCCTGATAACACTTAACGAGCAACATATACTGCTATGCACATGATATCCTTTTCTTTTTCTTGTTTCATGGAAACTACAGACGGTGCAAAAGATGCCAAACCACATTCTTCAACAGCAGGGGTGCTAAACTGGCTCGTCTGCGGCTCAGATATCTCACACACTAAAAACATTTAGAGCACTAAGGAACAGAAAATAGAATTAACTTTTGTGAGGCTGAAATCTTACAAATCCAGGATAGGAAAATCTGAGCCTTTATTACATTTTCAAAACACAATAACACTTCTCATTGTGCAAATTTGATATAATCACGTTGTCTAAGGTTTAAATAAATCAGCAGATTGAAGCCTTCTATTCTCATCTCCATCAAGACATCAAGATATCTCTTGTGCCTGTGCAGACATATTTGCTTTGTGATAGATCCAGCCTTGGCACGACGACAGTGATGCCACCAGGCCAAGTCCATGACCTCAGTAAATGTGGCTAGTGGCCTGCTAAGCAACTTAGTCAGGCTTTGTTGGATTACTGGCATCAAAAAAGCTCAAGAAAACTTCAGGAAACACGGCTTGATGAAGGTGGAAGCGGTTAAAATGTAGCATGATCAACTCATTGTCATATGCAGATGTTCGTCCTTTTATAGCAGAAAAGTTCATCTCCACAAAGTCAACAGAGGCTCTTTGGGCATTCTGTGGTACTTTTTCTTGGAACTTTTCTTTTTGTAGTGACTTTTTCTTTTAATGTCTTGTTACAGTCACCTCATCTATACTTTGACGGTTTAGCTCCTTCCTCATATTTAGCTCTATTGTTTACTCAACATGGAGAGGAGATTTCTTGCTAATTTGTAGGAATGTTGCTCTAATCCTGAAAATCCTCTTCTTCTTGTAGGTTTGGTCTACAGGTATAATACTGAGTACACTGCACATAGTCCCTACTTAATCTGCCTACACTGACTTTTAATACTTCTTTGGTAAGCTTGCAAAAATGCCTTCAAACCGTACAAACAGTATAATATTACACTGATTTGTTTTCTCCGAGTTATCATATATCATATACAATAACACTATAAAACAACTGACTTTCACAAACACACAGCGCAGAGACTGTTTGCTCTACACTAAATGGAAATAGCATCACAGGGTTTTTTGAAAAACCAGACGTGTCAAAGTTTGAGTTTGCAGGTCACGACTCATGGACTCCCTGCCTCTGATTAAGTTGCTGTTTTATCACCAGTGCTATCTGCAATGGAACAGCTGACCAGAAGGCTTATGGGGCTTTCATGACCACAGCAACAGTGTCGTGGCACAGCTCAGTGGACATCATTATTTTTAGCAGGCTGGGCTTTAGAAGGGGGGGAAAGGGAGAAGCAAAGCCAGGATGTTTTAGATCAGAGATAATATATGTCCCATCTACCTTGTATGTAGTTACAAGATAATAGACGACTTCAGAAAATTCCTCTGCATAAGCACGTGTCTGTGCATGGATCTTGTTTTAAGTTATTCTACTTAAGTCCATTCTCAAAATTGTCTGCAGATACCTGTTTCACTGTTTAGAGCAGCCCCCACAAACGCAGGCTGTTTCTCAACTATAGAGTTAATATATGTGAATTTTAACACTGCTTAAATTACATTCTCATTTAATGATCGGTCGTTGGTTCTGGCACCAAAGAAATAAAAGTTCATATTGAGAATATAACAATAGCA